GCTGCTTCTCCTCCCTGGAATGCTGAATTGCCTGGGCCCTTCAGCTGATGCTGTGTTTGCAGGCTCCCATCCCATGGCTGTAAGTGCTAGTAAGCCAAAGCATTAAAGAACCCAGGGGTCCAGGTTTTTCCATGATGCCTATGCAGTTATCCAGCTGGTTTCCTGCTCTGATGAGGCTCTTCCAGACCTCCTTTCTCATGTCTGTGGGACTAGAGCTAAGCCAACCTGAGTTTTGGTCCCCAGGTGCCAATGTGTCCTTGAGGAGAGCTTGTAGCCAGTCTGCTCTGCACCTGAAAATGGATGTGGAATGATTTGAGCTATACAGGGGGTCTTGTGGTATCAGTCTGTTGTCTTTGATTTTCTGGAGCTCCTTGGCTGGAGAACAAAGGCGCTGGCCTGGATTTGGGGAGGATGTTGAAAGTGGGGGATGAGTGTGGCAAAGATTCTGTTCCAGAGTCAGGAGCATAGCTGGAAGGGAAGGAACTTGATAAACAAGTGACATGCTGCCTCGAGCTGGCCTGGCAGCCTTTTACCACCCTGCCTTCATCTGCCAGCCTGGCTGGTCCGTTCAACACCTGCTTTCTTATGTGAGAAGTCCCCAGCCTACCTATGGTGTTTCTTATTTCTAAGGACCTCAGTCAGGTAAAGCACCAATGTGTAATTTTCCCTCCTTGGCAAGGCACATCACAGCAAAACCGGGACCATGATCTGATAATGAGTGCCACTTGGGGCTGTGGGTGTGCTGGGACACGTACTGTTGGTAACCAGCATGCAGGAATAGAGTAGTGGTTGTGATGAGCTTCTGGGGTTACTCGATGCTCTGGTTTTGTTTGGTCTGAAGAGGAGTAGAAATAGGTATTGCTCTTAAGAAACTAATCCCATGGAACTGTGATGTTTTGGCTTTAAAATAATCTGAGGTTTAATGGAAAACACCTTGGAAAGGGGTGGAGGGAAAGACTGGATGGAGCCACCTTCTTTTCTGGTGTCTGCTCTTGTTATCTGCTCTTAGCCACCCCTTCTGAGCTTGAAGCTTTGGCTGAATACCATTATTTGCCCCTCAATAGGCGAGTTTCTCTGTACCCAGCTCAGCCAGCCCATTACCCTTTCTATGATGGGGGGGTTAACTGCAAAATGGGCTGTAAACTGGGTCAGTGACTTGTGCTTGAGTAGAGACCTGAATCAAGGTCTTCAAAGCTGGGTGGAAAGCTGGGCTGCTCAGTTTTGGTGCTCACTCTGCTGGTGGTTGGTGTGCTTGGTAGCCTCAGTTTCTCTCTCCTAGTGTGCTCAGTGGCCTACAAAACTGAGTTGGGGCAGTCTGGCTCCATGTCCTAGCTCTGAAGAACATGGGGGAGCAACCATGAGACCTTCTGCTAGAGTTACTAAACAGGGCTTTCAATGAGTAAGACCTGTTTCTTTTACCAAAAATAAGCCTTATTCCTGCACTATTCCTGAGATCTACCTTTTCCTGAAGATAATACGTTCTGAGTTGGGTTTATCTGCAGTTTGTGGTTAAGAGCCTGTTTGCCCTGGAATCTGTGCTATGATGGAAGGAGATGCTCTCTTGAGAGGAGGGTTCAGGGTGTTCATGTTCTTCTATGCTCCTTGGACTGTGGGGCTCCTTCCCTGTGCATACAGAGGGGAGGGATCTGAAGTTTATGGGGTGAATTTGAGCCTGTATTTTTGTGGGAAGGGCTTTTGCTTTCCTAGCACAGCAGAGAATCAGTGGTGTAGGCAAGAAAAATGCAGTTTAAAGGACTGAGTTCACCACAGAATGGTGTAAAGGCTTTATCTGGGGGCCTCTTTGCAGGTCTTGAGGGTGATCAGCCTTTAAAGGGTCCTAGATGAATAGAAAGAATAGAATCTTGTACGTGGTATGTGCCATGTCTCCTTGGTTGTCTATGTCCAAAAGAGTTCCAAGACGGGGTATGTCATGTTCTTTAGGCTCTCTGTCATACAGACTGCTCTTTGGGGTGGAGAAGGTGATGGAGATAATGCTGGTTGAAGAATGTGAAGCTTATTCTGGCTGGATGATCCAGTTGAGGCAGGTCAGACCCAACTTCTGCCATCTGGCATTAAGTGAATGTCTGCTCAAAAGCAAGAAGAACAGATCTGGATGCTGACCCCAGCTCCATCCAGTTAACCTGCTGGAAAAGAGGGGGGGAAATCAACCTGATCTAGAGTAGGAAACCTTCAAAGGTCAGCAGTATGAAACTGGTGGGTAGGTACATGAATGATGCTTGCTGTAGCTCTTGTGGTCACTCACATCAGCTACTTGGATACGGAGCAATGTGAGGGGGTCAAGACCGCAGCCCTGTCTGTTCTTGGGCTCACTGTCTGCTCTCTTGTGCCCAGAGAAATGGTGATGCTTCCCTGTTGAGCTGTAACCTGTGTGCAGCCATGGGGCTGCCCTCATCCTCCTGTTGCATGCGTGTTAGGGATCCAAATCTCTTTGGGGCCAGGGTCTGCAGACATCAGTGTTTTGCTTCATTGCTCTATGGGGGAAAATCATTAGCATTTCACTGGTACTGGTGCAGCCTTGTTAGATTGGGGGATGCTTTTCAAGGAGGAATAAAAGCCCTTAGAATTAGCAGTCCTGATTCTTCTGACTTGGCTGTGAGGTGCCAGGCTCAGTGACCCAGATGGTTTCTCACTATTAGCCTGCTGTCTTTGTGATAGCATCCTTTAGGATTAAGAAACCTTATATGCTCTTTACATAAAGACTGTAAATAGAGGGGGAAAGCATATGCTGCTCCTGGTCTGCCAGGGGAAGGGCTTGGGGAGCTGCTGCAGGAGGAGATGGCTGTGCTGGAGATCCCGATTTGCGTTTGGATGAAGAAGGATGCGCATCGGGCTCCGAGAGAGCCACGTTTGCATAAACCCCAGGTGAGCGTGGTTGAGTTTGAAGGAACTATATTAACATATGCCACTAGATGGCCCCAGGGAGAAGGCGGTGCAGGGGAGCACAGCCTGCAGCAGGCACCTGGCCGGACCCCGCAGGGCTCCTCAGCTCTGGGCGAGGGCTGGGGTTAGCGCAGCCCAGCTGCCGGAGCACCGCTGGTGGGAACGGACAACGGGAGCACTCGCGGCTCCCACACAGCCTCATCTCTCACAGCACCTTGTGATGGGTCTTGTGCCATGGGAGCGCGCTCTGGGGTGCAGAGAAGCGTGAGGTGCGGTGCCCGCTCTGGGGAGTGGTGTGAGCTGCTGCTTGTAGCGTTGTGCCCTATAGGAGTGGCATGAGCTTGCCTGTTGTAGTGATGTGCCCCTATCTCGGCACCCAGCAGGGAGGTGGGTGGCAGCCCAGCAAACCTGGCACTTGCAGGTGGCTCTGTAGCCTGCGTAGGTCATGGATCTGTGTGCTCTAATTGGGTTGGAGAACTAGCCAGGTTTCTTGGAGCCCTGGGTAACCCACAGGCAGAACCCTCCATCTGAAACCAAACTATCAACTAAAACCAAACTAACAAACAACTGAAGTCACAAGCTAGAGAGCCTGAAGTTGCACTTTAGGGTCAATGACACATAGAGCCCTATGATGAGTAAACCCCTGGTGTCTGAACAGTGGGACTTGGGCTCAGGGCTGCTCTTCAGGCGACTGTCTTGTAGTTGGGATGCTGAAGCAAGATGTTTTTCCTTTCTACTACTCCACAAGGGAACCTTAAAGGCTGACGTTGCAAGGGGACACTAAGTGTCTTGTTCTGGTTATAGCTGTTACTTGAGTTAGAAGTAAGATGTCAGCCAGATATTCAGGTCCTAGTATAACTCCAGGTCATCTAGATGGAAAAGTGGTGTACCTGTGCTTATTTCTGAGGGAGCAAATGGTCTTATCCCAGGGTTAGGAGGGGAGTGTAAAGCCTGCAATGTGCTTCAGACCTGAGCCTCTGGGAACCAGGAGGGATGTGAAGCTGTGAGTAGTTCGAGAGGAGCAACACTTCTCTCTGGGGTGCTGATGAGCTCCTGTGGAGGCTTTAATGAATGGAGCTTCACTGATGGATGAGATAGGAAAAATCACTAACCTGGGGAAGTGTAAAACGGTGCCACGCCATACCGTGAGCCTGGCCCGGTGGTCCTTCAGGAGGAGCTGCCTGCTCCACAAGCCAGTTACAAGGGGGAACACAGACAGGGAAGGAGCTGTCTGGAGATGCCACAAAGTCAGCTTTCTGGGACGTGCTGGCACAAAAGTGTGCGCTGAAATGAGGTCTTGGAGGCTTTATTGCTGCGGGCTGGTGTGAGCGCTGCCAGGGCAGGCTGCGGTGCAGGCTCCCCTTGGGCTGCGAGGCTGTTTCCCTGCCTCACACCTTGCTGCCAGCTGGGGAAGTACCTGCTCTCCTGCAGACAGGGAAGTTGTGTCCCTCTTCCCTCTGATATGGACTTCTCACGCGGCCTGAGGCGAGCGGCACTGCTCTTCCAAGCCAAGCTTTGCTCCCGAGGCGAACTGGAATGGGTCCAAGGGTTTGTCTGGTTTCCTTCCTAGGTTTCCTCCCCTGTTTAGTGGGTTTAATAACACCTGAGGGTGTCAGAGTTACTCACTGCGCCTGAAAAACCCTGTGCAATCTATTGTGTGAATTTACAAGATGAGGCTGCCGCCGCCTGTCTCCCAGAGGAATGATGGATGTCGGAGGACTGAGCTCCCTTGGATGGCTTTGCTTTTTGAAGGGCACAAGCTGAGGCTCTCCAATGGTCCTAAGAGCTGTGTGTCACACCTGCTGATGCCAGCAGGAACTGATGGTGCACAAGAGGGAATCGCTCTGCTCTTGGGAACTGTTCAGTTTAGGAACTGGTCAAAGAGAAAAGTTAAGGGCACAAGACCCCTTGCTCAAAAGAGGAATCCAACCTTCAGAGGGAAACTGCAATTTTGTATGTGGCCATCACCTGTCAGTGGTAGCACTTTTAAGTGAGAGATGCAGTGTTCATCCTATGAAACCCATCCATGTGCCTGAACTGAACTTAGTTTGGGACGTTTTATCCAGATTTTAGCCATAGAACAAGTACCCCTTTTCTTTAGGCCTTGATATAACCAGTGTGAGTTGAAATAACACCTGCTGCAGAAAGATGCCCTGGGCAGCCATAGATAGATCCAGGTAAGCGTGGCTCAGAAAGGGATCGACAAGCCTGAGACACCTTGTCTCTGTAGCCAGGAGCTTCTCCAGTGAAAAGCTTCATCCTACCCCTGCCCATGCCTGAACATCAATTCAGAACCTTTCTTTTGTAGGGACTGTAGTGATAGGACAGGGGGTGATGGGTTAAAACGGAAACAGGGGAAGTTCAGGTTGGAGATAAGGGAGAACCTCCTCACTGTGAGAGTGGTGAGGCGCTCGCACAGGTTGCCCAAAGAAGTGGTAAATGCTCCATTGCTGGCAGTGTTCAAGGCCACGTTGGACAGAGCCTTGGGTGACATGGTCTAGTGGAAGGTGTCCCTGTCCATGGCAGGGGTTGGAACTGGATGATCTTCAACTCCTTTCCAAACCAAACCATTCTATGATGCTGTGATTTTCCTCCCAGCACTGTTTCTAGAGAGCATCCCGGAAAAAAAAAAAGCTGTTCACTGAATAAATTCCTCCTGACAGATAAACTGAAACCTGCTACTGAGCACTTTGGGGCTGGGCATTCAGCGAAGCTTCAGTGCATTGGGTTTTGCTTCTCTCTGTCAAGGGAAGTTTAGTTCCAGCTGAACCATAGCAAGTACCTGCTGAGTCAGTCTGTGTCTCTGCTGTGTGATGAGAAGCAAAATGCACTCCCTGAAGGTCTCAGCCAGCATTTTACGTGTGGGAGGAGGGATTTCTGGAAGGGGAAATGCAGAAGAGAGTAGGAGCAATTCCCAAGTGTTTGAAACCAAGGTGAACCTGTTCTGTAGGATGCAGGTCCTGCTGTAGAGCTTGAACAAACACTCAGTTTTGTGGGATTTAGCAAGTGAACCCAATACATCCCTGTGAGGATCTGACTCCCAGGCTTTGTTAGTCTGGTTGCTGCTGAGTTTATTGGGTGGCAGCAGGCAGCACAAGGTTGGATCCCTTGGATCTAGGCACTACGGGGGATGTGTGATATGAATTCACCCAGCTAATTGCATAATGCATCGTGAGGCTTTTGGTGTCTTGAATTTCAGGCCTTTTAGCAATGTGGGGAATTAAGGAGTGCTTTGTGGTGTGCATGGTGAATGTGGGAGGGGGAAACAGGTATTCAGTGGGCCCTCTGGGATGGAGAACAGCATGGATAGCTGTGCTTGGAGGAAATTGGGGTGCTGTTGCCTCAAATGGAACCTTTTGGCCTTATATTGTTATTCCCACCCTATACTACCCAACCTGATGTTCAGTGTTCAACTCTTTACTGCCATATTCATGGAAACCCTTTGAAATATCACTGCAAGCTGGGGAAGAAACTCTTGGGATGATGGAGAAAAAGACCTTTAAATACTAATAGGGCTGCATCAAAGGTCCCTGATGCATGACTGGTTGTGCATAATGCTAGGGTATCTGGCTTGCCCCACTGGGGTGTGGAGGTCTGGGGCAGGACAGGAACAGGCTGTGCTTGCCCTGTGTTGCTGTGCCATGCCTGGCATGGAAAAAGGATTGCCAATCCCTGCCAACAGTGCTGCCGGTGCCGTGGTTTCCTAAGCAGAGCTGTTCCCATCACTGGTTATGCTGCTTTTGGAGGAGCTTTGGAAGAAAGCTGATTGCTTCCCATCCCCTGCTTGACTGAGGGTAGTTTTGTCTAGGGCTGATTCCAGCTGATGGGTTCTACCTATCCCTTTGCAGACTGCTTGGGGTGGGACACAACCTCCATGTAAGACCACGCATCCTTGAGCTCCCAAACTGCAGTCTGGGGTCAGAGGAGGGGAGGAGCGGGTCTTGCTCGCCCCTTCTCTCCTGAAACGGGTGTAGAAGGCTGGTCCATGAGCCGGTTGTAAATCAGAATGCACGAGGAAGGCAATTTTCTGCAAGTAAAACCTGCCCTAACGGAGCCCTGGGGGAGGGAGTAGAACTGCAAGTGTCAAGGTGAGGCGGAAGAGCAACAGAACGAGATTTAATTTCCTTCCCAATAATTTTCTCAAGCTGTATAAACTTTCCTTATTTAAAATAAATACTCCCTGAAAACACATTCTGTGTCAGTGGCCCTGTGAAAACACCCCCAGTCACAACCTGTGCCTGTCCTTGCGCTTGCAGCCTCAGCCAAAAGCCGGCAGTTTTACATTCTGCTCTATTAACTTGAGCTGTAAATTTCCTTGTGCAAAGTCTCCCAGGCTGTGGAATGAATTTAAGTAAACAGGGCGTACAATAATAGACTTGTGTTAGGGCAGGTTTGTCAAGTGGCCTGTAACGCTAAGAGTAAGTTCTTCTAAATCTCTCCCTGTTATGGTGCGCGGTGTGTGAGCTTGTCCAGAAGCTGGAGGAAGTCATAGGAGAGACGTGGCCGGTAACCTGGGATCCTATCTGTGGTCCAGAGAAGAGCACCCAGTGTTTGATAAGCAAAGCATTCACGTGAGACAGCCTCTTGCTTTGCATTTCACCATGCTTTTTAGTTCAAGACCCCCATAGTAAGGTTTTTCTCAGTGACAGCATCTGTGTGAGATGCTTAGAAGGACTCTGAAGGGTTTTTCCCCCTTGTCCTACAACATGCTGAGGGCAGACTCTAAAATCAGTTTTCAGAAGGGGTTTCAAAGTTAACTGCTAATATAAAGCACCCAAAATTATTTGCCTGGTTTGGAGGCTATAGGGTTAGTTCCTTCTTGGAATTATTCTCTAGGGAAAAAAAGCAGGAGGGGTTTCTTCTGTAAGTCGGGTGGAAAACAATGTTCTGCTTCAGGTTTGTGGACATCATTGCTCTAAGACTTCTGAATTCTGCCTGCTTGGTGTACAGAGGTGCTGCATGCATCTGTGCCTCATTGCCAAGGAATCTTAATGGGTTTTGAAGGAATGTTTCCTGCTAGGCCAGGAAAGCATCTCTGCTACAACCTACTTAGATCATTGTCCAATCTTCAGCTAAGAGCAGGCTCAAGATCATAGAATCACAGGATAGTTAAGGTGGGATGAGCACAATCTAGATGGTTACGAGTGAGGAAAAACTGATTCCACTTTGCAAGCTCAGCAGTTTTCCTACCTGATGCTTCTGCAGATGATTCCTGTTTTCCCCATGAACTTGCAGTTAAAATGTCCATCTGGTTGGTGCCTTTGAGTCATCCTGTAAAAGGGTATTTGATCATTAGATAAAGAGGAAAGCAACTTCTGGCTTATAGACAGCCCTTTCCTGAAAAACAGAAGGTTGTAAGCAATAACTTGGCGTAAAAGCCCCCAAACAGGGGTTTCTGTAGACTCCCCTGGGTTTGGCTGTGTTGTCTGGTTATCTAACCTTTCACCAGCTGGCTCTTGTAAAACTGCAAAGTGCTTCTGACTTCTGCTAAGCTAAGCTGTGTGTGGGGGGGGAAAGGCAAGAAAACATCTTTAAGGCCTTTATCCAGAACTCAGTAAAACCAATGGAAAAGCTCTGGGAGTCCGGGGGATATTGGATCCCTTCCAAGGTGTTGAGGGCACTGGAGGAAGGTTGAGCCCAGCTTGTGTTAGAACTAGAAGCCAAGGGAAATTCTCAGCTTCTGGGAGTAGAAAAAAGTCTTGGCAAAAGCTGGATCTCGAGGCTGGAGCAAGTCATGGACCCAAAATGGTAGAAGTTGGGATTTGGGGGGGTAGGAGGATAAAGCCTCTTTGAGGTACTTGAGCGGCTCATGAGCTGGCCATTTCTTCTTGGTCTTTTGGTATAACCTCTATTAGATAAAAGGAGAGTGATGCTTCCTGACTGCTGCTGGCTTGGCCTCTGCTACATCTCTATTGCTTCTCTTTGGATTCAAACCTCTCACTTTCCTCCCAGTAGGAAAGCGATAGGGCAACAAGGCTTAACTCAGGTGGTTTTGTAGCAGCTAGCCCCAAAAGAGGTTGAGGGAGGTTCCTGTGGGACCGAGTGGTCCTGGACCTGCAGTGTAACTGGCAGCATAAGATCACATTTGCCCAGCGGAATGCAAAGGCTTTTAGATGAAAGAAAGTGTTTGCTTTGGCATTCAGAAGCATGGAGATGCCACAGATGGAGAGCTGCCAGTTGGCTCATCACCAGCCACTGACTCATAATGGAGAAGTGTATTGTGAGTCTGGGTTTTTTTTTGTCTCCTTAAACTTTATAACTGGCTTTTTTTGTTGTTTTTGAGAGGAGGAGGGAATTCTCATGGTTTTAAGCAAATCACAACTGACTCAGCCTAAGCCCAAGGGTAGAATGGAGAAGGCTTGATGGATTAAGTGTCCTGGAACAACTGGCTACACAGCTCTTTCTTGTTTTCTGGCTGTAAGGATTGTCCTTTTGATCAGATTCTTTTCCCTACCCCTTTCCGGGTTGTAAATCCAGGTTAGTCATGGTAGGGTGGCAAACAATTAATGGAGTAGGAGGTTGAGCCCTGGGAGTGAGAGTGGTGGCCTCTGCAGAGTGAATACACCCTGGTGGCCAGGTAGAGAAGCAAGGACATCTTGAAGCCATCTACCCATGAATTTGTTGTTTGGAAGGGTTGAGAGCCTGAGACTCCTACAACAACTCCTGTTTCTGTAATCTGCTCAGAGATGTCTCCAGGTGTCTTGTAGCCAGGGGAGGAAGCTGTAGCTTGGTCATTTACCATCTTTCCTATGTACTTGACCTACATTGCTTCCTGCCTGTACTGCCTAGGCTATCATTACCCTCAGGATCCACTGGTTAACTGGTCTTTGAGCGCGTTAGTCAACTGCTGCTCAACTCCTCTTGTGGTACTGATGATCCCTACTGCGAGTTGGGTTTCTTGCTTCTCTGGGCATACAAAGTTCCAGGAAACTGGGATGGTTTTATACTGATCCTGGAAAACAACACTTGTCAGGTCTTTAGTGACTATGAGGAAGTGTGTAGCCAATCCCAGCATAAGAAGACAAAGGTTTAAAATACAGGAGACAAAGTGTCCTGATTCCCAGTCTGCTGCACTGAGGGATGAGCAGTGGTGTGCACAGGAATACCACAGCTGGTTTAAAGCCTTTACCAGCTGCCATACTTGCATGTTAGACCGACAGGCTTGTTTTGAAGGCCAGTGGGGGTTATACTTCCCCAAACATCATCTGCTGTTCCTTCAAATACAACTGCTACTACAAAATGACCCGTGTCCACAGGTGATGTCCTAGCAAAGGATGAAATGACCATGCACGAACGGGGTTGCCTATTGCATGTCCAAGTCTGCATAAAATGTTATTGTAAGGCAGTACTTGGAAGCAGTAAACCTGTGACATAACCTGGGTGGGATCCTGAACCTGTGTTGCTCACTGCTGGAGCTAGCAAGTGATGCTGTGTGAATCTGCAGGCTTATTTGCAATTAACTTATTTGCCTGATTAAGGTGGCTTATGAACACAGCTGCTGCTTGGTGCATGGCTTTTGACATCAGTAGTGTTATACCAGGGGTGAAATTGGCCTTCCCTATATTGTTGCCAGTTGCAAGAATTTATCATCCACCTGTGCTCTGATTTACGTGTGTGTAAATCCTGAGTAACTCCATTAACATCAATAAAGCTGCTTGAATAGATCTCTATCTGAATTGCGTGCTGAAGACTTCTCATGTTGCTGCTAGCTATGCAGGTGCAGGGATGTGGTTGGGTTCAGCTGGGAAACATGATGCCATCCAAGAGTGTTTAGCATGCAAACAAGGAGAAAATGCTGAGCTGAAACCACAGTGCTCACTTAAAGTGATGCCATGGAGCTTTCAAGAGAAGATTTCTCTTTGCCATCCTAAAATATTTGAGCGGGCAGGAATCTCTGAAAGGTGTTTCCATGGCCACTTGGAAGAGAAAATGATGTCCTGCTGCTTTGTGGTAAAAGAAATGGGTTGGTCCCAGAGCAGTTTTGATGACTAAGTTGGGGAGAAAATCAAAATCATAGAATCAGAATGATTTGGGCTGGAAAGGAGCTTAATATCATCCATTCCAGCCCTCCTGCCATGGGCAAGGATGCCTCGCACTAGACCGTATCCCTCAAAGCTCTGTCAAGCCTGGCTTTGAACACTGCCAAGGATGGAGCATTTACTGCTTCTCTGGGTAACCTGTTCCAAGGCCTCACCACCCTCACAGTAAAGAACTTCTTCCTTATATCTAACTTGAACTACCCCCGTTTCAGTTTGAACCCATCACCCCTCTATTTATTACCACAGTCCCAATGAAGACCCCCACCCCAGCATCCTTGTAGGCCCCTTCAGATATTGCAAGGCTGCAATGAGGTCTCCACACAGCTTCTCTTCAGGCAACGGAGAAATGGAAGGAATGGGTTTCTAGTCCTCATTTATCTCCACCTTCCCTGCACCTATACCTAACTGTATGCAAGGGCAGCTTGCTGCTTAGCAAGTGTTTTCTTTGTGGGCTTTTGCCCAAATTGTGGAAGCTCAGAAACACAGGGAGCCATGGTAAGGATGAAGGGTGGAGCAGTGCCACCTTGCCCTGTTGTACGTGTTCAGTCGTCCTGTTGTGACAGCAGCAGCAATGAAGTCACCTAGAAAAACTCATCACAGGGAGATGAGACACCTTAGCCCTGGGATAAACTCTCCTCTGAGCTGGTGGCTGTCAACCCAAAGCATGTGGGGCTGAGAGCTCTTCTGAACCACTTGTGATGTTACTGGAGACTCTCACAGATAAGATGTCTACCGATTCTGAACCTCCCTTTCTAAGGAGACTTTGGGATTTTTGGGTCACTTGGCAGCTTCATGGATTAAGGTGCTGCAAAACACTATCAGTTTGGATTGCCTTTGGGTGTGTGCAATGCAGCTTTATTTGCTCTGGTGGAATTTCTCCTGATTGGAAAATAGAGAATTCAAGGTGGTTCGTTTTTGGAAGCATGTGTTCATGTTTTGGGGACTCCATCACTTAGCGGACATTTGATATATGCTGGGGAGAATGAAAGAGGATAACTGGAAAGCTTGTTGGGGAGAATGAAAGAGGATAACTGGAAAGTTTGTTGGAGAGAATGAAAGAGGATAACTGGAAAGCTTCTTATGAGTTCTTGTTTCAGGAGATGAAGATAGTTGGCTCCTTGGAGTGCAAGGTGGCATCTCCCTTAAGGAAAA